TATTTATGATACAACAACTAAGCCAGGTATTATGCCAGCATATCAGGACAGTAATATAAGTTGCAGGGTTTGTTCTTAATGATTTGCTCTTCCATTTAATCTGAATTTGTGGATTTTATTGCACAGAGCAGAGCAAACAGCAAACAAAAATATTCACAATTAACTGTACAACTCTCAATTCAAATTTCTGGCATTATATGATGAAATGAATTAGAAATCAAATTCCTATTAAAGCGAAAACTTCTTGTGTATGTCAGGAAAAGAAAACATACTTAATATATGTTCAAAACAATAAACTTAAGACACTAAAATATCTCCAACCTCCAATCATAAAGAACCTCAGTAATAAAGAAAAAAAGACTAAAAAAAAAAGACTTAAAAAGGACTATATTTAAAAAACATTTTCAACCAAAATTGAAACTAAGGGTGTTTTGAATTAAGTGAGTTAAAGATGCTATTTCCTTATGTTAAGTTCAAGATTTTATATATAGTTGTTGGTTGAACATTAGATCTCTACTTAATTTTAAACAAAATCTGATACTTACTGCCCTCCTCTTTCTACAAGTGTCTGGCAGAGGTATTTTCTTGCATTCCTATGAGTTGGACAGTTTTCCAATGCAAGCTCAAAATCTTCTATTGCTTTGTTCAGACTTCCTTTTGTTGCATATCTAGAGATAGGAAATAAATTAGAAGAATTTATCTTGTGAGCTATTCATAAATCTTGTACACATCTACCTTATCAATATTCCTTAAAAGCCATGATTCACTTACAATGCTCCACGAGCTACCAAAGCTTCCACATTTTGTTTGTCTATTTCCAAAGCCTTATTGTATTCATTCATAGCATCTACATGGCGTCCAACCTTAAAATAATCAACTCCAATCTTCACACTAAAAAGACATTTGCAAAGCATCACACATATTTCTCAGAATATCCAAACATAATGTTAACGTGGATAAATTTTTAAAACAAACCTCATGTGGTTAATATTTAGTCTTCAATACTCTCAATATACCTAGGAAGTATCCTGCCTTTGGATAATTTCATAACAAATATTTATGAAATCGATATATCAATATACTAATTCCTTTTGAAAAACATGGAAAATGTTGGTTAAAACAAGTCTGTTAAGTTTACAACATAATACCATTTACACCTATAAAAAAGCTAATGTCAAAAAGGCATTTTAATTCATTTATAAACAAATTTGGTCTTAATAATGATTTAAAAATGCCTGCCTTATTCTAACTTTTAGACTAAATAATGCAACTGCTGAAAGACACAAAGTTTTCATACCATTTTAAAGCCCAAGATGCAGACTGTTTCTTTCTTAATGCAGAAGCAAAATCATCTTCAGAGAAGTTTTTGCTATTCAAAGAAAATAAAAATCAAACTATATACTTTTTTGGATAATAATATTTTATTCTAACAGATAAAAATTCAACACTGAAAAAGTTAAATCCTAGGCAAGAAATTTATATTCCTTCCACAAGAGAGTATTTTTTTTCAAATTTTTATTTGAATTCTAGTTAGTTAACGTATAGTGGAATATTGGTTTCAGGAGTAGAATTGAGTGATTTCATAACTTCCATATAATACACAGTGCTCAACACAACAAGCGCCCTCCTTAATACCCATCACTCATTTAGCCCATCCCCCACCAACCTCCCCTCCATCAACCCTCAATTTTTCTTTATTGTTAAGAGGCCCTTACAGTTTGCTTCCCTCTCTTACAAAATATTCTTAAACTCTCAGAAATGACTATTATTGTTAAACAGTATTTTTAACATAAAATTCTTAAAAACTTTCTGCATCTTTCTCAACACATGTAATCACAGCAGACTCCATTCCAGAAGGAAATGGGATCACCTAGTTCATTCACTCTTTCGCATATTGCTGCCACCAGGCTTAGAATAGTCAAATATGTGTCTCAGTTATATAGCTTTTGAGCTCAGCACCATTTACTTTACCGCTTAATAACAACTATTTTACTATACCTTTGTAGGCCTCTCATTAAAGATGGTGGATTAGATTCATCTATTCCTAGTTTTCCTAGAAGGAATTCAACTACTCCTGGATTAACAAATCCCAAGGAACTCTGCATGATATTTTCATAGGATTCCAAAGAATTGCTATTTAGTTCAACACTTCTCCTTAAAAAACAAAAAACAACAAAACACACACAACAAAAATATAAAAAATGACTAACCTAATTAGCATGTCCCATTTCTATTAAAGAAATACTCATTTTTATACATGAAGGCGTGGTAATATTATTTTGGTTTCTCTTACTTAAGGGTTATAAAAATAAAATGAGCGTATTTTGAAATAAGAGAATTTTCTACTTTTCATACCATTTTAAAGCCCAAGATGCAGACTGTTTCTTAATGCAGAAGCAAAATCATCAAAATTAGACACAATTTGCTATTTTTAAATCAAGAAACTGTTTTGCAATTAACTTCTTTAAGTAATGTAGACAGATTACCTGTAGTATAAAGGAAGCTCTTCAGAACTAATTACACCTAATTTAATACCAGATAGATGTGGTGGAAGAGATGAGCTATATAGAGACACTGCAAGCTTTTCATGGTATCTGTCAATATCTTTGATTCCAGCTTAAAAAAATAAGGAAACTAAGCTGATTAACAAGAAAACGCAAACTAACATAAAAATACATAAATCTTTCCAAACACTACTCTCATTAGACAGATTTTCAAAATTAATATGAACAAAAATCTGACAACTGTTACTTTTTTATTAATATGATGAAACTGATCACCTCGAATAATGTCACCATTTTGGTAATATGATAAAGGATCCCCGTGACTACTGTGAGAAGGCACATCTCTTAACGGACAAAGAGCCTGCAATGAGAAGTATTTTAAAATGTCAGACATTCCGTTCTTTGGTAAGAAGTATCATCTTTTATCCTAGTTGTTCAGTATAATCAGCTAACAGTTGACAAGAATGTTAAAAAAACAACTAGCACTCTGAAGTCTAAATTTAAATAAGGATTTTAATTATAAGCAACTCCTGTGCCTAAAAACAGTAAAACAAATTTTCTGTTCAGTTCAAAAACTATTTGCATTTAGTTTCAGGAATCAAATATAAGTATGGGTTATGAAACAAGAGGATAATTTATGCTTGTTAAAAACAAAGCCAGAAAGTATGAGAATTCCAATGAAAACTAAATGCGAATTCTCCAAAGTTTGTGTCTGTTATCCAATCTATCCTGCTTTTTCTTCCTCCATCATCTGCCTTGACAGGTAGCAAATATCAAACCTTTTAAATTGACATACTATTTCAAATTCAAGACAATTCATCTTGGGCAAAGTATCTTATAATGTGTACAAATCATTTACATTTAACTACTGTAAATATAAAAATAAGAAATTTGTTTCCAAATTATCCACACGCAGGTATCTAACTCCAAATACTAAATAAGTAAGAACATGTTCAGCTAGAAGAAATAGGCCTGGAATACCAATCAGTCTCACCGAATCCACTGGTATCTCTGAGCATTTAAAGGACTCTATCCCTGCAATCCAAAGGGACCAAATAAACCCCCCAAAAAAACAAGAAACAGAGGAGGAAACTAAGTAACTACATCACCGTTAGTAATTTTTTAAAAAGAAAACGTACTTTTTCTCCAATTAATATTTATTTCTCAAAACTATGTCAGCGGGGTACACCCAAACACAACTGGATGCAAAGACATAATTCCTGCATTGAGAGGACTCTTACCAAAAATAGAAGCAATCAAATAACTGAAAAGTAACTTACTGTGATTTCTAAGTGAGAAATATCTCTTATGATGCCACTGCCTAAACAAATCAACACCATGAAAAACCCAAATTCCCGAATGGAACTAATTCTTCCAATCACTATATCACCACGCTCAATATCTCGGAAAAAGAGCTCTCTCCGGTCCATACTAGGTATCTCCATGAACTGTTCTAAAGGTGGCATGACTGCATAACCATCTAAAAAAAAAAATTAGCAAAATTACTAATAAGAGCATTGTACTTTCCTTCATCTCAGGTGCAGTGAAATACCCCAAACCGCAATCAAAATATTTTAATAAAACTCACCTTCATTGTCTTCATTGACTTCAGAAGTTGCAGGTGCATCAGATTTCCAGGAAAGTGCAAAAAGCAAATCTGCTTTTTTGGAAATGAATTTTTGTATTTCAATGTTGTCAACTCTCTTCTCTTTTCTTAAAAGGAAACAAAATTTATGAAAACTGGTTTATGGGCAAAACTTTTCAGTACGTCCAAGCTTATGCTCATGGTTTTCATCGCCCAATCGGGTCCATCCTAAGCTCCCGGGCGTATATTCTCCGAGAAAAAGTTTTAATCAGGGATTCCCTCATTCGCCAGCCTGTAGGTGGAGGGCGAGGAAAGTTAAAAAGTAACTCCCGAAGCTCCAGATACCGAAACCTAAGGGATTTTGGCTAGGCAGTACCAAAGAAAAAGTTCTGCCCACATCCCCCGCTTTCGCTCACACCCGGAGCGCGGACCCTCCTCCTACCAGCCCTCCCACCAGCGCCGCAATCCTCACGTGCTCGCTGCCGCGGCTCTGCTCCTTCCCGATTCAGCCACCCGGCGGCGGTAATGGGGCCCCGACCTGCGTCCCCTCCCCGTCTCGCAGCGGCACCGCCGTCCCATTACCTGCCCGGTAACTGCTGCTGGGGCGGCGGGCCCCGGGCAGGCTCGACCGCCGACCCTAGGAGGCTCCGGAAGTGCGGATTGTCCTGCTGTTCGCTCCGGAGCAGGGAGAGCAATGACGGCCCATGGTAGTTCAGTGACTGCCGCATTAGGTCCCGGTCCATGGCTAGAGATTGCTGGACCCAACGACAGGTGGGCTGCTGGCCCCCCGTTCCGTACCCACTACTTCATCCTGGTGGTCCCGGAGGCTGCGGAACGGGCCTGGAAGCCGCCGGAATCACACATCACAAACACACAGTTGTCTTCCGGAAGTGTTTCGGGACCGCCCCAAGCGGCGGCGCGGAGGAGCTGCGCGGAGGAGCTCCGCCTCGGTCTCGCGAAATGGAGCGAGACTACGGAAGCCGGAAGCGCTGGGCTAAGCAGTTCCTGAGCTAAGGGCTGCTTACCGTTCTGAGGTAGTGATGTGTGAGAAGTTTGTTTTTTAAAATTTCTATGGTGTTATTATTACGTTGAGATGGCCCGGGCCCAAATCTAGGCTAAATAATAATTCACCCACCTATATACTGAGGCGCTTCTAAGTGCCAGTGCCAGGGCGAGAACCCCAAACGAGTTACAAAGGTTCTTCCTTCAGAGTACTCGCTGGATGAGTCACTATCTACGTCTCAGACATAACCATATAAAAATGACTGCTCTGGGAGATTTCTTGGAAGTCTAAGGCCAGAAGAAAGAAAGGATACTAACATTAAGCACCGGAATTGTGTTCTCCATCCATACTCCATTCAGTGTAATGATTTTTAGAGTTAGCTTAAAACCAGAATGGCTTTAATGTCTAGATATATGCATTTATGCATTCTTTTTTAAAATTTCTTTAGCTTATTTAAGTGGCTTCTAAAAACTTAGTGCCCATAAGATTTACAGTGTAGTGTTGTGTACATTAAAGTCAATATATTGTATGTATGGATAATTCGAATGATTTACAAAGGTAATTGTGATTTAGGCCTTTTCCCCCCCTTAGTTATTGACTTGAGAACTTAAATGCTTTAACTCATTATACTCTCACTTTAGAGATTGAGGAAACAGGCCCGAGAGTCTCAATAAATTGCTCAATATCACCCAGCTGGTAAAAGTTTAGAGTTAGGGTTCCAACCTTGGGCTTAATAGATCTTCACAGACAATTGCTGGAAAGAGTATATTTATCATACAGAAGGTGTAATTTCCTCTGATTTTGAGATAATATGACTTTGTTTTATTTCACTATATTAAAATCCATGCCATTTAAATATGTGTAGTTTAGTACAGTCCTCTTGAACAAAAATAAATGGTAGCAGTTATTCTGCCTCCTCTCCAGCTGTGTGTTTTCGTTGTCTCATCACCTGGATAGAAGACCCTGTCCAGAATACAGTGTATGCCTCTACCCTGTTTTTGAAAAATCCAGACAGATAGTTTCCTGAGACTTGAGAAGATGCAACAAAGAAGGATGCAAGTTTAAAAGATAATACATTTCAAGCCACTATGAGCACATAAGGAAAGTTTACTCAATGGTACAGACTGATTTGTGTTAAGCTACAGCTCTAGAGAATGGCTGATATTAGGAAAGAGAGTGCTGTCACTGAAAGCCAACCACCAAAATGAACTATATAGACATTCGGTAAGTCATGTGATTTTAGTTAGAGGTGATCTGTTATTAAAGATTTAATTATCTCTGGAGGGACTGAGAAGCCCAGTATCTGAGAACCAGATGCCAGACAGTGGCACTTAGTCTGAGAAGGCCAACTTGTTGAAGCCATTCTTGGGTAGAACATGCCTTCATCCCTATGGGATCTATTATTTTTCCTAATTTTAACACCAGAGTAAACTCCAACCACCCCATGTCTTGAATATCTAAAATTGCTGTGGTATGACCATGGAAAGAGGAGAAAGTAACTGCTTTTAGAGGGTAAGCAGTGTTCCTCAAGAGTGAAATTTATTGAATACTTGCTGTACACATAGTAATGATGGGGAAAAAGGCCCACAAAACTTCCAGGAGGTATAATCAAAACTCAGGCTGGGTCCTATCTTTGGTTGGTGCTGGCCTTAAATGGAGGTAGTCACAGTAGGTAAGTGCCAGAGGCAACCTTATTCTTCACTTTTCAAGTACTACTTCCACAGCATGGCGTTAGGCCTTTTTCAGTTACAGATGGATTTGAATTAATTTTCTGCTGGGATAGTATCCTTTGACTTTGGAGGGGACTGAGTACTGAATGGTTGACAGGATTGGAGGGAATGAGGAGAGAAAGTGAGGGGGATTGGTTTTGCATTTCATTTTGGAGAAACTAGTCCCATATTCAGGATTTCTCAAGGTGGACATAGAAAACACTTTTCTTTCACTTCTTGCTCTAATTTTTTTGTTTACTGGTTTGACCTTTAAAAGAATCTTTTAAAAATCTTTTTTGATAAGATTTTCAGATTAAGCAGTATGAATAATCAAGTGACTATGGGAAAGAAGAGCAGTTAAGGCATTCAAGACAGATCTTTGGTGTCTGGATCCTGGGCCTATTTTTATTGTGATATCAAATTCCATTTTTAAATAAACACAATAAACATCTTTTAACAAATACTCTCTAGGCCTTGGAGATACAAAGATGAAAACAACTGATTCTTGAGTGGTGCACAGTCCAATAGAGGATCAGACATAAGAAGAAATGGGGCACATTGTAAGTACTATTGTCGTGGACACCTACTAGGTGTCTGCTTAGATCCCTTATTTTTCTGGGGGATGAGGTAGTGGGAGTTGATGGGGGTAAGAGAAGAGAGGAGGAGGCAAGTATGTGCCTTCCAGCAGGAGGGAGCAACATAATTAAAGAAGTAGAGATATGAAAAAGAAAGATGTGTTCTGGAGACAGCAAGTGTGAAGTTGAGGTAGGTAGGAATATTTTAGTTATGTGTATAATTTCAGGTAGGCTATATATTGGTGGGAAGAGACCCCTGTTTCCTCTATGTGAGAATACACACACACACACACACACACACACACACACACACATTAAATGTTTAGCAAAGAACACAAAAACTTAGAGCAAGGTAGCCACAAAAAGCAAAGGCAAAAGCAGCATATCTCAAAGTAGCTTTTCTTGGATCCCCCAAGTTTCCCCAAAATAACATGCAGAGCTGCTAGTGACACGATATGCAAAAGATGAAGTCTGTCTGGATCTCAGAAACTTGTGTATTGCTACATGGGAAGGACTTACACAGATAATCTGTGACTATATACGAAATCTATAGACAGGTTTTTTTCTAGTTCTTGATTCTGATGTAAACAATTTCAAAAAGCCTCATCCTCCCCTGGAGTTAAGGATGAGATGTTTGTATCAGGGAAGTGTGAGTAGACCCAGGTAAGACCATAAGGATATGTTAATACTCCTCCCTTTAACTTTTCAGCAATTTTTTTCCCAATTTTTTTCTTAAAAAAAATCCTTTTTTTTTTATTGTTACTTAAGCCAGCTTGAGTAAATTTATGGTTTGGAACGAAAGGAATCTTGACTATACTGGGAAGCCACCAACTAGTATTTTCTGCTCTTTCTACTTTGTCATTTAAAAAATTAAAAAAGAGATATGGAAAGGTTAAGAATTTGTTCAAAAACTAACTTTAGAATCCACATTATCTATGTATCTAGTACTCTTTCTACCATGCCATACCATCTAGAGGGTCAGCTGAAACCATGCTCTTTAAGAATATAGTTTGTAAATATTCTTGTATGAAACTTATTTTAAAACATATTATTATGTGAACTTCTAAAGATAGCCTTGAACCTTTTTTTCCCCTATAATGGGGCCACTTGGTTTTATTCATAGGCACACAGTGCAAGAGGCAGCTTTGCTTCCATAGAAGGTAGTAGCTTTGTTCTATTCAGAGTTATATATGGAGTCACCCTGGTTTAACTCAGGGAAAAAGGAGGAATACTAAATGGAAAGTATGGCTAGATCAGCCAAAAATTCATCCTCATTATTAGAGAAATAATTCAGACTTTTTCTGATAAGGGTTCACTCATCCCAGTAGTCTTTGTTTGAAAGGATTATACTACCTTCTCTTCTTATTTTTCATATCACAGATTAACACATCTCTTTAAGAAAAACATTGTCAAATATTTATCCACACGAGGGTGCTGTAAGATCATTGTGGGTATCAAGTTTTCTCTCCTTTACCAGAAAACCTACTGCCAATTAAACAAGGACTCAGGGATGGGGAATTGCGATTTACTGTGTAGAGTCATTTTAAGATAGTTGTGTCTCTAACACCTTCTCCATATTTTAGTTATTGGTAAATGTTTTGATGATATTATTTTAATGTAAGTTAGTTCATATCTCATGGTCTAGGATCGATTAGCTCAGTAATTTTGAATTCTTCTGAGAGGAAAGATCATCACTAATTTTAGTTACGGTTTAGGCCAGTTAGCTCTGAACAGACCCAGGGGTGAACATTGCACAACTCCAAGGTGGGGTGAGGGTGTTGGGGTTGTTGCATTTACATCATAATCCATGTATGATGTATGTGGCGCTCCTAGAGACGTGTAATGCTGGACCATACACTGTGGCCATCTGTAGTGCTATTCTCAGCCAGCCATTTTTTTCCATGTTTGTCTTTGTTTACAAAAAAGACTTGGAATAGGATGAGGATATTTCAGAACAAATCCATCATGATTGTTGGGGGAAGAAAAACAGTTAAAAAGACGTGTGTGATACATGGATTAGGTCAGTGTGCTTATCTTCAGGTACTTTGTCAGGACAGCTTATAAAGATACAAACACACACATTTCTTAGATTCTCATTTTGTGGCTGTTTCTCAGAATACTATGCCAGCAGGGAACATGTCAGGATTATAACCAAGCAGTTTGATGCTAAATAAACAGTGTTCTTTGTCAATACATTCTGGGTTGGCTTGATACTCATTTTTAATGCAATTTGGATGTTTCTTTGAAAAAGAGTAATTGATCACCTTTTAATTATTAAATAGTAACTTCTTTTTATTTTATTGATAGCAGCAGCAAAGGAGAATTTCAGAGACTAGAAATGTGTTACTGTTCTAGTAGTATATTGTCATCTCCTTAATGGAATCCATTAGAAGATAAAGCATGTCTGGGTAGAGATTAAACTTTGATCCTACCCACTTTAGATACAACATTTGATTTTTGGTAGATATAAAGGGTCTGATTTCCAGAAACAATTAATTGAATAAATGAATGAATGAATGAATTCAGCAAATATTTATTGAAGGTTGGGCACTGTTTCAGATTTTAGGGATATAATAGTTAAAAAAATACACCAAGATTCCTGCCTTCAAGAGATTACATTCTGGTAGAGGGAGACAATGAGCAATAAACATAATAAATAAGTAAATGATGCAGTATATTATAAGGTGATAAATCCTATAGAAAAAGAAATAAATCTGGGAAAGGGGCACTGGAAATGCAGAGGGATAGGTGTATTAGTTTTAAATGGAATCGTTATCAGGACTCACTGAGAAGGTCTCACTGAGAAGATGACATTTGAGCAAAGACTTGAAGGAGATGAAAAATTAGTCATTTAACTTATTTGGGAGAAAAGAGTTCCAAGTAGAGGGAACAGCCAGTACAAAGGTCCTAAGACAGGAAGGTATGTGTTGTATTGAGGAATAGCAAGGAAGACAGTATGGTAGGAACACAGCAGGAAAGTGCAGGGTTCATAGGCTATGGGAGGACCTTGGCTTTTACTCTTAGTGGAGTGGGCATTCCTTTAGGGTTTTAAGTCAAAAGACACATTAAGTCTTTCATTATAAAAGGATCTCTTTGGCTGCTGTATGGGTTGGAATTAACTAAATAAATATTGCTTATAAAAGAAGGGAAAAACTTTTATAGGAGACTAAATATCTCTTGTTTCTTAGGAAACATGATTTTAAAATTTACTCATCATTGCATAGAATGAAAATATGAAGTTCAATGGCTCTGAGAAGATTTAGAGTGTCGGTAACTATTACCATGAGATAGGGAGTTATCATAGTGGAAACAGTTTAGGCCAGGAGTCCAGGCTGCACCTTGGGGGCAGATCATCTAATCTCCCAAGCCAAGTCTTGCTACCTTTAAAACTAAGGGATTGGACACAATGAACTTTAAGATTTAACCCTTTACATTCTCTGTTTTATAATAAAAACAATCCAAGTGCTAAAACTTCATGTCTTTCTTTAAGCCACTGTACATCTTTTTCTATGAAATCAGTATGAAGTTTTTTTCCTATTGCATTGCATTGCTGGTAAGAGTGAGTTCCTATTATGGATGGTCTCTGTAAATGAATGAGTTTCTCTAGTTCCAGTTGGTTGCGGTTAGAAAAGAGACCAGCCATATTGAGTCACTATATTGTATACCTGTTAACTACACGGGAATTAAAATAAAAATCAATAGATAGATTCATAGATAGATAGATAGATGTCACAGAGACAGTTTGGCTGGTTAGTCTTGGGTAGTCTCAGTGTGATAGTTCCATGATGTCGTCCATGCATTCAGCATCCTATTTTTCAAGAGTAGAAATTCAATGCAGGTTTAGCAAACAGATAGACACTAACCAAACTAGCTAGACACTGATTTAGAAACCATATTGATGATATTTTAATGGTGAAATATAGACGCTATGTGGACCAGAAACTGATATTGAATACCAATATATTCTCCCGTGAGAAACCAACTATAGTCAGTTTATTTGTGAGCGTGGAATCAGAGCAAAAGCAGTCTGTTGAGTGATGTTAATGACTAATTCCATCAAACTGTGTAATCTGATACATTTATTTCCTCTATATGAGTATTTCCATTAAGGCTATCAGATACTCTGCTCACGTAGGCACCCCACACTCTCCCTTCCTCCCTCTCTCTTTTTCTCTTTATTAGCAGTTATATATTCTCCATATATATACATATGTATATATATATACATATACATATATATATATAACTGCTGGTTCTGAAGCAGTTTTCAGTGATTTTTTTTAACTTTCTTAAAATGGAAGCCCAGTATACAAACAGATAACTGTAGAACTACCTTTTTGAAGCAGTGACAGAGATATAATGAGAACTCAACCTATTAATCTCCTCTACCTGCACCCCCACCATGCATGTACTAAATGATGGCTGGAGAGATACCTTTGAGGACTATCTCAGACTTGTTAACAGATTACTTCTCCAGGTGGAGTTCAATATCATTGATTATGTTTCAGCTTAAGTTATAATCGTATTCTAGTCCTTCTTCTGTATGTCTATACTGTAACACTCTGGAACTGAGTATTTCTCAAACTTCCCAGCCACGCACCATTTTCTCCTTTGCTTGTAGCCACTTCTACAGATGGGGATTCTTGTGTATTATGCTAATCTGATTTCCAAGTTCAGGAGGGCTCTGTTCTTTGCCCTAATAAATTCACTATGAAGCCCTTTATGATACGGTCTCTGCCTGTGTATCCTACCTTATTTTCAACCCTCTCTATAAATCATTAGGACTCACATAGATTTTCTTCTTTTTTTTCTTTCAACCACATAGATTTTCTGATATTTTCCAAATACTCCAATTTTTCTGCCCGCTTTAGAGCTTCTGTACTTGGTATTTTCTGAAATGCTCTTCCCTCACTTTTTAAAATTTTCTATTTTCAGGTCTCAGCTCAAAGATAGCCTCTTCTCTATCACAGCACTCCATTTTTTCC